TCCACCAGCTCCGTGATGTCCACCTGCCAGTCCGAGCCCAGCAGGTGGGCCAGGTGGCCCCCGCGGTCAGCCGTCTCAGCCACAAACTGTGTCAAGACGCGCACCATGGCGTGCTGGTACTGCAGCGTGCAGCCTCGTCCCCGCCTCTCGTCCTCGTCCTCCTCCTCGCTGTCCCGAGCTGGCCTGTCAAAGGGTCAGGTCAGTTTAACAGATACGGGGCTTGTTGGCCAAATGGTCAGGGGCTGTGCGCGAACCATGGCAAGGGCCGCAAAGGCCAGTGGGCCACGAGCCCAGCCCGGCGTGGGCTCAGGCTGATGCGCGGGGTGGTCCTCAGAATACGGGACCTCGGTGAGGCACGGGTACTGCCCAGCTGGAACGGACTGGGGGAGGGGGGTGGGCAGAGTCCCAAGGCGCCCCAGTGACCCCCGCATCTGGTCTCCACTTTGTAGAGCCCCTTCCCCTTGACTGGGGGCTGGGCCTAGTAACTAACTTTCTTCCGGTGAAAAATTACAGCAAAGGTATGGCTGTCACTGCCAAGGTTAGGTTTCCAAAGGCTCTGGCCTCTGTCTAGCTCAGAGCCCTTTCCTTGGGTCTTCTCTCTCGCTTGCTCTGAGGAATCAGGCACCCATGCTCCCCGCAGCCCTCGGGAGGTGCCCACAGGGCCAGAGCGTGGCCTCTGCCTGTGCCAGTGAGGGGCTGAGACCTGCCACCAACCACCGAGCGTGGACGCAGACCTTCCCCCGTGAGCCCGAGACGAGAGGGCAGCTCCGCCACCAGCTGGACCACAGCCCGTCAGAGGCCCCGCGAAGCCACACCTGCATTCCTGATCTAGAGACAGTGTGAGGTAACACCTGGTTTTCCTTTAAGCCGCTAAGTTTGGGGGTGAGCCATTAAATTACCGTGTTTCCCCCAAAATAAGACCTAGCCAGAGAAGAAGCCCCAGCATGATTCCTCCAGCATTCAGGGCACGCACCCCTCACATGAGGGTTTTATGACCTGTTTCAGGGAGAAGGGTGCCTTTTCCACAAACTCCTTCAGCAAAAATATTCAGTATGAAAAGGTGCCATATTTTGGCTCCTAAAATCACGCAAGGGGTTATTTTCCAGCTAGGTCTTATTTTCGGGGAAACAGGGTATGTGGCAACAGGTAGCTAACATAACAGGGCCGTGTGTGCCGGCTGTGGCCCGAGGGAGGCCAGGACCTAACTCAGGGTGAGATGACCAGTGATGACACATGTAGATGGCCCAGGGGACAGACAGATGGCCACTGTCCCCTCCACGCCTGATGCCCGAGGTGCAGTCAGCCTTCCCCACATCAGTGTCCACTGGAACAACAGATGGTCACCTCTCCCATCAGGTCTGCCGCCATCTGTGACAGTGCCTGGGCTGCCACCATCACGCTCGGCCAGTTCTTCGTGGTTCTTTCCCCACGGTTGCCTGCTCTCAGCCGCATCAGGGATCACTCCTGACTCTGCCCTCCCACTCAACACCGGAAACCCTAGTGGTTAAGAAAGGGGCCCTTGCTGAAACCGTCATCCAGCCGCACGTGAGACCCAGGATAGCATCCCTTGAAGCCATCCCCTCTCCCACGGGTCACACGGGTGGACATCCAGTGGGAGGATGGTAAGAGCTACCCTCGGAGAAGCTCCCATCCTCTGCCCTCGGCAGGCCCCAGGAAATGTCCTCCTCTAACCCTGCACATGCTCATTTGGGTCTTCCCACCGGTCACTTGTACCTGAGCCTTTGAGCAGGGGCTCCTCTGAGATGACAATGTCTGAGCTTCCTGAGCTCCTAAACTCTGTCATGATGTGCGTCTGCTTGCCTGGTGTGGACGGTGGGGACTTATCGCTTTACAAAACACCCTCAGAGCGATACAGCAGACACACAGGTGACACGCTTCTGGCTTCAAGTCCCCACAGCAAAGCGAGCCCAGGGTGCCTGGACTAGGTCAGGGGGCATTGGTCCCGACACCTCCCCAGTGAGCGCATCGCGTGCGCCTTCCCATGGCCCGTTCTCCCCACCGGCTGGTATCGGTCCATCGGTTCGGGCAGGGCTGGCCTGTCCCTCTGGCTCCTCAGGCTCCAGCCAGGGGACCGAGGCTGCAGTCCACTAGCCAATCGTGTATTCTGTCACTTTGGCTACAGCGACTAGATCGGGGATAAGGCTTAACGCCAGGGCTTCCGCTGGAATTATTGGGGAAGGGAAGAGGTACTTTCTGTGGCATTGCAGAGAAGATTGGATGAAACTCGGGAAGCTCACGAGACAAGCCTGACGGGGTGCAGCCACAGGAAGCCAACCAGAGCCAGGAGGTGGAGCCTGAGACCTAGGCCATTGGGCCTCTGGACCGGGTCACGCCTGAAACCAGGCAACCCCACAAACGCCCATCTGGGCTGCCGCACACCGACCCGGGTTTCTGTGGGGGGTCAGGACGCATACACCCACCTCTTATTGGGGACGATGGGGACCCTCCAGCCCTTGACCTGGTTCAGCTCGGCGTCTGTGACCTCGATCTGCAGCGGGAGGCGCGGTGCCCACACTGTCATCTCCAGGGGCCCGCTGAGGTGCTGGTAGCTGAAGTTCACCACCACACCCACCTTGCCTTTCACTTCCTTCCCATTGACAAAGACGAAGTCGCAGCGGTCGGACACCTGTGCAGAGGGCGAGACGCAGGAGTTTTTGTCAGATCTCGCAGCCAAGGGGACAGCAGGAGGACCTGGGGAAAGGGAAGCAGCCTGGCTGTTTCGGGGTCCCTTGTGGGAGGGCTAAGCCCTAGTGTGATGAGGAAGGTTAGGGGTGCGGCCCCGCCACACCAGGACTGATTTCAGATGTCTGGCTTCCAGAACCATGAGGCGATAAACGCGTGTTGTCTTAAGCCAGCAGGTGAGGGGTGGTTTCTGTCAGCAGCCCCCGGAGACAGCAGAGCACAGCAGGGCCATGAAACTGGGGCTTGGGGGTCTGGGCTCAGCGGGGAGGGAAGGGGCGCCCCTCCAGCTTGCTGAGCGGATCACACGCGTGGTCTCAGTCCTCAGGATGCCCAGGGGGGCAGAGCTGTTACTATCTGCATCTCAGGAGGGTCAACCTGAGGCCCGAGACCATAGGTGACAAGGACATTTCCCTGGGATGCAGGGCTGGAAAGTGGCCGAGCCCAGACCCCAGCCCAGCCGCACCGCCGTCCTGTGGGCAGGTGTGCCATCCCACCCGGGTTCCTGGCAGCCTGTCTCCTTAAAGGAGACGCACCTCCCGCCAGCACTGAGGGAGATGGGGGTGGGCGTGAGGAAAGCAAAGCAGGACTCATGAGGCTGTTCAAACATCAGAAAAGCATTTCCAGCGAAGGCCCTTTTATCTCCATGCCGGCAGTCGGGATGCTGAATGCACCAGGGGACATGGAGACAGTCGGCATCCGAGGTGACCACAACTGAAGAGGGACGTGGGCCTGGGCATCGGGGAGCCTATGGACTGTCCTCCTAGCTGTCTGCCCACAGACGGGGCAGCGGTGTCACTGACTGAAAGCCAAGCAGCAGCCGTGGTGGCTTCATTATGTCCTGGCCTCGGCCTCGGCTCTCCTGGCTTCAGGGCTAGCCATTCTCTACACTTAGGCTTTGCTCTGTCACGTCTTCCAACTGTGAATCAGGCTGAATTGTCGGGGATGCGGAGTGAGGGAGGGAGAGCTTACTGCTAAGGCTTGTTTTCAGGGCAGCAGGCTGCTGTGTGAATTTAACTTTTGGGCCCTCTGGCCAAGCCCAGAAAGGAGGCCAGCCCGTCCGGGCAAGTGTGTCACCCCAGTCCTCCAGGATGAGGGAAGCGGACGCCGGTGCGCTGGGACAGTGGCCAACGGAAGACTAAGTCTTGTACGAGTTTTGGTTTTAAACTCAGAGTTCGTTCCTCGAGGTAAGAAGACAAGGTGGGAGCTACACCTTGGTTAGAGGTGGGAGGCTCAGCAGGGGGGCGGCAGGCCGTAAGACCCTCGCAGTCCTAGCGGAGGATGGGGAGCCTCTGTACCCCCCCACGGCTGCCTGGAGTTCCACCCACGGCGTGGGCCACACGCTACGTGGCGGCCCCCGCACGGCGGTTTGCCAACAACGTCTGGCTCTTCCTCAGACCCATGGCAAACTGTCCTGCCGCTTGCTTGCTGCTGGACAGGGAACGAGTATCTTCACAATGAGTTGGGAGCAGGGTGACACCTGTCACCCTCTCTCAGGAACACTCAATTTCCAGTAAGGGACCTTCCAGAGCTTCCCGTCCCTCCAGTCTGGCCCCTGGCGGTGCTGCAGATGGTGGCTGCCCTGTCACCCTGGGTCCTGAGCGCCGTGACGAGCGGAGTCCCCCCACATGCTGGGAGGGCCAGATGGCATGGGTGACAAGCACCCCTGCTTGTGTTAAGTCACTGATATTTCGGGGTGGCTGTTACTGCATTTTACCCAGGCTGTTCTCAGAGCTGCAGGGGGACCTGTTCTTATCACTGTGTGACACAAAGAATGCGGCAAAGGGTGGGAGTCAGGGGCTGGGGCCCCTGCGGGAGACACAGGAAGGCAGGGGTAATGAGAGGGCGGGAGGACGGTTCTCGCTCTGGCCAACACAAAATGAGCCAGGAACGTAATTGGGGTCCCAGGGGGCGAGGTCTCTGTCACAGACAGGCTGCAGGAGCACCTCTCCTGAACACCCAGGGTCTGGGGCCACCCCCTCCTAGTGCTAATGACTTTCTAATGGCTGAAACGGTATGCAAATGAGTCTATGAAAACAGGTAGGAGTGACAGGGCCTCGGCCTTGCTGCCACATCTCGGAGGAGGGTTTGGGGGAAGTTGAGGATTTGAGGAGAATACAAAGATTGAGGTCTCCGGGGAAGGCTTTGGTGCTGAGCCCGTGAGCCTGGGGGTCTCGGGCACGACACTGGCCTGGGGTGCTGCTTCCCAGGAGTCACATGTCCTGGGGCCCATGGTGCCACCAGCCTGCCTGCTGCCATTCTCGCAGGGAGAGGACTCAGCCTGGGAGGAGGGGGCTGACATCTTTCTTCCTGGTGACGCTCTGACTCAGCATGGCTGCTGCATTTATGGCAGCTGTGGCCTTGCTAGTTCTCCCCGTCCTTTGTCACTTCCTAGTGACATACAGCACAGGGAAATAGTCAACACTATGTAATCACCTTGCAGGGTGACAGATGGGCACCAGGCTTGTGGCGATCACGTTTGTATACACGTGAGGTGTACAAATACTGAACCATTCACATAATATTGTATGATATACAACTATATACTGGGATTAAAAAAATACGTTTGCGCCCATTCATCGGAGCAGAAAAGGGGTGGGATACTAGACCAGCCTGGCACCTGGCGGGGGAGGGGATGACGGGCGGGAGGGGGGCTTACACAGCAGGTGTCGTGAACCTGAGGATTTCAAGATGAGATCGCCCAGGATTGGCTGCGGTCATAGCGTCCACATATGGGAGGCGGGGGCGGATTTGAGACCACAGAAGAGGGGAAAGCCGTGTGAAGACCACAGACGCTGGACGATGTGGCCACAGGTCAGGGATGCCCACTGCCACGGGATCCTGGGGGAGGCAGGCAACAGACTCTTCCCTGGGAGCCCTCAGGGCCCCAGAGCCGCGAGGGAAAGCGTCTCTGTGGTCACTTCCGGGCCTTTCCTCAAGGAGCCCATGCACGTGGTGCATGGCTCAGGCTGGGCTCCAGGGAACCTGAGCCTGGGGACACAGCCTCGTCGCCCCCAAGCTGCATCCTGGGCGGGATGGACAGGCGGGAGTGCGTTCCTGCAGGAGCCAGGCGGGGCGCAACGCCCCCTCCAGTCCCCTGACACCCGCCTTTTCCTCCAGCTCCCCGTCACTGCCTGAGATTCAACATTACCAAGTTCCCGGGAGATGAACTGGGGAACCGCGTCAGGCCTGGGGAGCTGACGAGACCCGTTCGTTCCTTCTTGTTAAAGTATGACTAACTGTACATGTCAGGTAATTTATGAACTGCCGCTTTACAACGCTGACGGTTGGAGGGAATGAAGCAGTAAAACTGCCGAACCCCCTCCTATCAATTCCCAGCCGGCGCGATGGGGCCACAGCTAATATTTCTGACGCTGGTGCACACATTCTGGCACTTATGTGAATTTAATGCCAGTTCCTTTTTTTTCCTGTTTAAACGCTGTATGAGTATAAATCTTATTTAAATATCACCAACATTCGTGGTGAAATTTATGTTCTTCTGATGTTTTTCTCTTCCCTTTTATTAAAGAGGTAGAGCGGAGGGGATTAAAATTCTGCTCCCTCCACCCCTTAACTTGGGCAAAAGTAGACGGCCTAAAGGAATATCCGCCTGTTTCGCCGGCGAGGTACTTACTGCCTTTCAGGAACCCGTTTTGATCCAGGACTAAGCGATACACGAATATAGGGGCACCAGGAGAGACAGCGCTAAGCTGTGCTGACGGCTGTGCATGCAGCTGCGAGCTAAGCATCTCACACCTTATTCCAATTGAAATCTCCACAGTGATTCTAGTAGGCAGGGTACTGTCAGCCCATTCTCCAGGTGACCAACCGAGGTGCAGCATCCCACAGCCATCCGGGACGTGCTACGTGGGACCCGCAAGCGGGAGAGGACTCCTTAGCTCACTGCTGTCAGCTGATTTCTTGGGAGACAGCTTCACTACCTCCGTGGGGTCTGTTCACGTGAAACGCACTTGTCTGCCAGGAGACAAGTTGTAAATGGTCACACCGGGGAGGAAGGGCCCTGGCAGACTGTGCCGGAGGCCTGAGGCTGACGGCCCACACCCATGCAGATGCTGTGTGTGCAGAGGGAGGGAGAGGTGGCTTGAGCATGAGACGGCCCTGTTATGAGCTGACTGTGTGCTCCCCCACACCGTTATGAGCTGACTGTGTGCTCCCTCACACCCTGTTATGGGCTGACTGTGTGCTCCCCACACCCTGTTATGGGCTGACTGTGTGCTCCCCCACACCTTGTTATGGGCTGACTGTGTGCTCCCCCACACCCTGTTATGGGCTGACTGTGTGCCCCATCCCCCGCCCATTCATATGTTGAATGCCCAGCTCCCAGGGCCTCCGATGTGACTGTATGTGGAGATGGGGCCTTAAGTTAAAAAGCTGACGAAGTTACAATGCGTCCGTTAGGGTGGGGGACATTAGGACACTCCTGCACAGAGGACAGACACGTGAGGACACAGCAGAAAGGTGGCCGGCCGCCTGCAGGACGAGGACAGAAACCTCAGGAGAAACCAGCGCTGACCACACCTTGGTCTCAGGCTTCTGGCCTCCACAGCTGTGACAAAATAACTGTTGCCTGAGCCTCCCAGCCTGCTGTCCTGTTACGGCAGCCCGGACAGGCGATATAGCCCCCTACAGTCCCTATAGGCTGTTTTCCCGGTTCGGGAGCAGACGGCCAGGCTGAATGCGGGGGGCCAGCAGGAGCTCTGGGGACGGCCGCTCAAGGGCCTGACACCCAGCAATGCGCGGCTTGCACCGAGGGCTTCCCGGCCCGGAGGGATTGATACGATGCCCACTGTACAGCGGGGAAAACTGAGGCACAGCGAGATCAGGACATTTGCTCAAGTTCGCACAGCTACACAGTGTGGGACCGGGCTTCAAACCCGGGCCACGCTGCCTGCAGAGGCTGCCCTCTTATTCCTTCCGTGACACGGT